CAAGACACTCATTTTCACGCAAAAAAAGTGCTATTTTACTTGAAAATGCATTTTACCCACTGGAGAAAAGAACAGGTGGCTTCTAATATGTGCGATATTATAGGTCAGTTTATTATGATTCAAATATACTCTATTCAGTTATAATTCCAATTTTTATTGCAAAGTTTATAAGAACTATATGTTCGATTTTTTATTGTAAAGTATATTAGATTTCTTTAAACTCTTGCGAATTACAATTTCTTTAATCTTTTATTACTTTCTTTATAGTTTCAAATTAATTTTTCTATTTCTAGCAATAACTGATACAGCTATTATTGACAAAGGGAAGACTTTTGTATGTAAGTGAATTTTTAAGCGATATATTGCAAAAATTCTTGAATTAATTATCAGGCATTTTCCTGCAAGAATGAATGACTATATAAAAAACTTGTTTCGATTTTCTGCTCGATTTTCTAGCATTTACTATGACAAGGGAAAATTTTATTCAAAATGTTCTTACACTTGCGTTTTTATGTATTTATCATTTAAATTATTCGAAGTATATATTGCACTTTTCAAGTATGCAGAGGTCGCACAAAAGGGGGAGCACATTTCGCCACATATTTCAGAAGAATATATTCTAGAGAAAATTTGAGCTGTGATACGACAAGGCAAGGACCTGAACATTCCACCAGTGGCACTTTATGTCGTCGCTCTGATGATTGGTAACCAAACGCTCTCTACTGTATGGCCAATCCATCGGAAATTCAGGACATGGCCCTTGGATACACATTCACAATATTAACAATTATTCCATATTGACACATTATGCATCTGTTTTACATTTAGCTGCTGTTACTGTGCTGTCAGTTGATACATCCCACTGCATCAGTTAGAACACTCATAGTCCAATTTCTTGTTTCTCCAGCTTGCAGCCGAGATGGAACTGCAAAACTTTGGGACTGTGGCGAAGGGAAATGCAAGCAAACGCTAGTCGATACACAGTGCGTTATTAACTCTTGTGCTCTTGGGGCTTGCAATCCAGGAATCTTTAACGACCAGACCCCTATGGAAGGTACTATTTAAAAAAATTTTGCCTGCTTATTTTAATTTCTGATTACGATTCTGTGTTTTATGGTACTTTGTGCTATATGTCGTGTGAGATCTAAGCTTAATTAACATTACGGAATTTGGCAAATACTAGGCTACGCATCCATTAGACCGTTTTGTACCGTTTTTATTTCTTTCCATTTTTCTCTGACAATACATAAAAATTTACTCGTATCCGTTTTAAAAACACGATTCAAAAACTGGAATGTAAATTTCAGGAATCCCCTCTCTGCTCTTAGCAGTTCTGTTGTTTCGTCTGTGGTTGACCCTTGTTGTTATGGTACCCTTTTAAAAGAAAACTGGATAGTACATTCGATATTAATCAGCAGCTTCTACCTTTACCCTTGTAACATTTATCATCAAGTTTTATCACCAGATAAATTTCAACGGTTTATATACCAAATCACGGAACATCTTTTATTTTGCCATGGGAAGTTTTTTGTCATGCGAATATCCAAAATAGTTTTAGGGTACGCCATGTATCAAATGAAGACATACTTTTATGTCCCATGTTTTTGAAGCATCATATAAGATACGTTTTGGTTTCAAACTGAATAAGAGAGAAGTCATGGTAAGATACATCTAGAAGTTGGACAATTTTATTCTTAGTTGGTCTATTTGTAGTGCATTTCCAATGAGAACACACGAGTTTCCTAATTAATGTTATTTGTTGTAATAAGTGATGTAATTCATAAGGCAGGATAAACGTTATATTTTACAGTATTTGTATCTATAGCATTTTTCAAAGAAAGATAATTAATCTTAGATGGAAAATGTTCGAGTAGTTTCCTGGTTTATCGAGTAGCTTCCTCATTTATTCAAGCCCCCGTCTGTTCTTGAATCGAAAGTAATAAACAAGCCTTTCTCTTCTTAGGTACTGGTGAAGATGGCTTGGGTGGCAGAGCTTTACTGATCGCAAGGGAAGATGGGATACTAGAAGCCATTGACATTAATAGCGGTACACAGGTATGGCATGTTCTCATTGTTGATGCCCAGCCTTCCCCCCCTCCTCTCATAAATAAATCTTCTCTTTTGCATCATTTTAGACCATGTATCTATCTGCCTAGAGAGCTAAATTGCTAATATTTTCAGAATTTATGTTGATTTAAGTAAATTTCAGTCGTTTCCTTTTTTTCTTCAGAGTAAGGAAAGTTTAGTTTAGACTTTTCTGTGCGTGAGTTTTTGGCGCTTTTTGCTATAAATAAATTTTATTTAGACATGTAACAAAAAGCAGCTCACATTCTAAATGCGTATCTTAATTAAGATGTAATAATTGTATGTTCCTAGCTATTGCGTTTATTGCTTTTATTAAATAAAGTTTCCTCCAAGTTAGTAAAATGTTTAATGTATTTCTAGCTATTACTTCATGCTGTTAAAGTTTTTATGCGGCATATTGAAAGAGCCAAACGACTTTTCTCAATGTCAGGATTTTCGTACAATGAATATTGTCGTTAAAAAATGTTGATAAGGGTAAGCCTTCTTTTGTTAATTCCTGGATACATAAAAAAATGTTTGCGAATGTGTGCAGCAATATAATCCTCTAAACACAAACTTTGTAACCAAGCCGGCAATTAGAAATCGTTCAGGGAAAACTGTCCCTTTGAGAACTGTCTTTGAAATTCCTGTCCGGAAAACTGATCTCGGTAAAAACTGTCCCCGGTGAAAACTTTCCTGACCTAGCCTTCTCTTTGAAAAGTTGAGATGAATGGTATTCTTTCCAGTCATAACGGTCCCTGCAACCCTGCGTATTTTACTCCATCGTCTTGAAATTCTGCCCTTTGATTTTATTCCTAAAATGCTGAAGTCAAGAAATCTCTCTTTGCACAGTTCTAGTTAACACACGTCTCTCGGTAAATTTACTGAATCCTTTCCACCCAAGACAGATTTTGTTATTGCTTTCTTACACAGGGGTGTATAGCTCGTCCCATGAAAAGCCAAGTTAAGTGATGTTGTTTTCTTAATCTAATTAGCTTCATTTTACAACATTCTTCTTGAATAGATCTCCAGTCTAATTGCACACTCAATTAACTGCTTGGCGATTTTGTCAAACGAACACAAAATATTGCGGATTAGCGAAAATGGAACAATATTGTGTTTGACCTGAGAAATGGGGCATCGGATCTTCAACATATCAAGCTGAGCTAGTCTATCTTCACCATCTTAAAAGTGCATAACAATAAGATTTTTGTAGCCCGAGTATGTTTGCTTTTTTACGTACCGATATTTTTTTGCAGAAATTTATTCCATCTATCCCGGATTTAATTATATTTTTGAAGAGGACAACAATAATATTTTCTTAAGCGTTCAGTCGGATATGCCAAGATGGTTGGAGCTATTCTTCTGCAAGCTCTCTCCTCCTTTTTGTAAGTGAAAGGGAGCATAGTAGTGCAAATGCTGCAAGGATTGTTTCTAGAAATGAATTTAAGTGGCTGAAATCATGTCTTGATTGGATGTTACCTTTTCCCTAGTTCTCGTAAATTGTATCAACCGAACGTCATGAACAGAGGTCGATAAATTCGTATCAGCAAAGGTTGTTCTACCTGTTTCAAGCCTTGCTTTGGTTGCCTTCGGTTCTTTGATTATCGGCAGACATGTTTTTTGATAGTATCGGGGTGCAGCAAAGCAATAAACGAGCCAATTTATGAAATCGTTAAACTAGGCTGGATGCTCTAAAACCTGGAAAGAGAGTAATATATTTCTAGTGTTGTGCCGATTACGTTTTTTCTGTATGCAAGAGCAAGCGGTGTGCTATATTCTATAAAATTTGCAATAAAAACCTAAATGTGAAAAAAGCACATTACAGTATATTTTACTTTAATCAGATGAGTTTATATCCTATTCTGGATCCTTACCCTTACCGCTATCAAAAAGGCTTGTCCGAGAATTCCACTGTCGGTTCAATACATTTCCTAAGTTAAAAACGTCTTGCTCATTTTTTCAAGCGTCAAGAAAATTTCAACCGTTTTTTAAATTTGTTTGCACTAAGATCTGATAAGTGGAATCATTCTGTACTGCATTTTCGTCTGTGAGTGGAACGGAATCTGAGTCTCCAAAAAATTTCATTGCGTGTAGAGTCACACACGATTTAGTTTTTTGCGAATTTTAAGGGTTTTACGTGTACGAAAAGAACAGTGGACGGGAATTTAGTGGTAATGTGCAGTTTGACGAAAAGGAAGGCAAAGCAGTTAAAGGGAAAAATAGACGTCTGGCCTGAACTGTGGTACATTAAGTATAAAATGCAAAGAAATGTGGAGGGTAAAATGTAAGTGTGAAGATGATCCAAACATGAAGAAACAAACATGACAGACAAAGGAAATGGAAGACTGAATTGAGATGTTAGATTAATAGAAAAGAAAAAAATGAGTATTACTCTATAAAATGAAGGCAGTAGGGAAGAAACTAAGGCATATGAAAACAAGGGGCACGAAGTGAATAAAAAGGGCAAATGGAACCGAAAATAGGGAGATTTACAGTAGAGAAAGTTCGAAAAGAAGTTCGAGAATTTTTCTAGCTGTTTTATCAAAGTTATTCTCACGATCTATCTGCCTACTTTTTTTTCAGATATGTTAAAGTCTGATAAGTATGAAAAGCAACAATTTAAAGATACAAAACAAAGGCTTTTTCTTGCTTTTGAGGCGACGGTTCTTTGCAATTTACAATCCATGAGCAGAATGTGAAGGAACATTGCAGTTACTGGACCAACGACGATCCTAATTTAAAGATTTTGTTGCTATGGGGAAGATGTATACTCTGCTTGCAGAGACGGAGTGATAAGAAATATTGAGCCTTGGTCGACAAAATCGGAATTCATGTATGATTGTATTGACTCATGGCTGTATTGGCTAACAAATGGGAGTTTGTTTCGAGAGGAAATAACAATTTTGTTTCAGAGAAGATTACTACATTCATGAATGTTGAAAACCGCTTTAAGGATATGCATAAATGACATTTTAACACAGTAACAACTAACCTACAATCCATTATTTCCTCACATGAACCTATAATGAATGGCACGCTAAACAATAAATTTAAGAAACAAAGACTTTAGTATAAATATTTCTATCCGACAGTCAAGCTAAATGTTTCATGAAGAATTTGCTCAGAATTATTTCTATTGTATGTTCTGGAATTTGCTACCAAATAAAATCTCTGAGAGAATAAACATTTTTATAGGGGTTTATTTTATCAATTATTACATACATGAAAAATGTAAAAAACAGTTTGCTGGGAAATTCACAGCAACTGGGCTGGCGTTTTGTCGATCAGGTTGCAAAAAAATTGAAAAATTGGACGTGGGTGATGTAATCCTGTTAAATAACATTATGCGATTTACAGGATGGATAAGAATATAAGTCTTTCCAAGATGGCTTTTAGGCAATAGTGTATTATGTGCGTGATTAAAATTATAAAACTGCGTTTAATCAGTAAGCTCTACAGGGGAAAACATTTTTTAACTATCCCCCCACGCCCCCCCGGTGAAAGAAGGAGTTTCGTGAATTTGGTGAAAAATTTAACAGAATCAACGTGAAAAGACGATGACAACCCAAAAACCATTACACAAGAAAGAATCCTAGGTAATTTCAGCTTCTAATTTTAAGAAAGGTTAATACTTATACAACACAATGATAAACTTATATACGTAATATAACAAAACCGACGTCAACCATTGTAAAGTATGACATCCTCCTTATTTCAAATCAAAATATTTATATATAAATAAAGATACTTATTCATAAAAAAAAATATCTAAAAAAACATATTAAAAAACAATTATTCTAGAAATATCATTAACAAACAAAATAAAGATAACTAAGCTTAAATATAGATTAACTAGGAAACATTTCTTGTACATCAACAGTGTATCAGCGATAAATG